CACACAAGCGTAAGCCTAAGCCTAAAGCCTAAGCCTAAGCCTAAGCCTAAGCCTAAGCCTAAGCCTAAGCCTAAGCCTAAGCCTAAGCCTAAGCCTAAGCCTAAGCCTAAGCCTAAGCCTAAGCCTAAGCCTAAGCCTAAGCCTAAGCCTAAGCCTAAGCCTAAGCCTAAGCCTAAGCCTAAGCCTAAGCCTAAGCCTAAGCCTAAGCCTAAGCCTAAGCCTAAGCCTAAGCCTAAGCCTAAGCCTAAGCCTAAGCCTAAGCCTAAGCCTAAGCCTAAGCCTAAGCCTAAGCCTAAGCCTAAGCCTAAGCCTAAGCCTAAGCCTAAGCCTAAGCCTAAGCCTAAGCCTAAGCCTAAGCCTAAGCCTAAGCCTAAGCCTAAGCCTAAGCCTAAGCCTAAGCCTAAGCCTAAGCCTAAGCCTAAGCCTAAGCCTAAGCCTAAGCCTAAGCCTAAGCCTAAGCCTAAGCCTAAGCCTAAGCCTAAGCCTAAGCCTAAGCCTAAGCCTAAGCCTAAGCCTAAGCCTAAGCCTAAGCCTAAGCCTAAGCCTAAGCCTAAGCCTAAGCCTAAGCCTAAGCCTAAGCCTAAGCCTAAGCCTAAGCCTAAGCCTAAGCCTAAGCCTAAGCCTAAGCCTAAGCCTAAGCCTAAGCCTAAGCCTAAGCCTAAGCCTAAGCCTAAGCCTAAGCCTAAGCCTAAGCCTAAGCCTAAGCCTAAGCCTAAGCCTAAGCCTAAGCCTAAGCCTAAGCCTAAGCCTAAGCCTAAGCCTAAGCCTAAGCCTAAGCCTAAGCCTAAGCCTAAGCCTAAGCCTAAGCCTAAGCCTAAGCCTAAGCCTAAGCCTAAGCCTAAGCCTAAGCCTAAGCCTAAGCCTAAGCCTAAGCCTAAGCCTAAGCCTAAGCCTAAGCCTAAGCCTAAGCCTAAGCCTAAGCCTAAGCCTAAGCCTAAGCCTAAGCCTAAGCCTAAGCCTAAGCCTAAGCCTAAGCCTAAGCCTAAGCCTAAGCCTAAGCCTAAGCCTAAGCCTAAGCCTAAGCCTAAGCCTAAGCCTAAGCCTAAGCCTAAGCCTAAGCCTAAGCCTAAGCCTAAGCCTAAGCCTAAGCCTAAGCCTGAAGTGCAGGTGCGAAACTAAGTCTTGCCACAGTTGCAGTTGCTTCTCAAGTTGTCGACCTTATTCGGAGGGACCGTTCTGGGCTCACCGTGTCAATATCGAATGCAATTATATAGGTCAACTCATTCAAACATGTCCAGACATCTAGAGAAATGGTGGGAAAAGTAAAAGAGCTAGAGCATTCTACTTGCTTTTGCTTTTAAGCTAGCACACCCAGCTACGGTATACCCTAATTTAGTTTATAGTGCTGCAGGAGGAAACACTTAAACACATAAAAGAATTCATAGTGACCCAAATCGAGGTGGAATTTCCAGATGACTGGTGACACACGTAAAATTCGCAACTCGAATTCTGTGTGTGCTGGCTCAACTTACGCGTGATACAGTGTTCTCGAAGTGCTACGTTGAAGATATGGTGTGAGAGCTCAAAGAAGGGAGAACGGAAGCGAGTTGTGGTTGAGGACGCGTTCATATTGTCCACCTTCCCCAAGAAGAGCGGGTGGATGAAATGAGGTTTCAAATGGCGCATCACAGATGTTGAACCTTTGCGATGTTTGCCCACGAGACTTGCAGTCTAGCTGCACCTGTTACGCAAATTGTGCCCAAAAATTGGGGATGGTCCACAGAACATGTTTTTGGATATCCATTTACTCCCAGATGCAGGAGTCCAGAATCGAATTGGTGTCTGTAGCAATGATTTTCTCTGCCGATAACGGCATTTAAGACTATCAAACTGGACCCTGCTCATAAACGAAATTTGTGTGTAATTGTACGCTGAGGCCAAAGTCAGAAGTGTCAACTTTGGATTAACGCGAATGAGGAACTGCCCGAATTGGATCACGAGAAGTCACGTAGGGTTCACGTGGATGATTATTATGGCGATGGATTTCTGGAGTGTGCCTCTTAAATGGCTCTGTCGGGAAAAAACCTCCGGCGTTTCTCAAGTTTATGGCTTGTTTCTTAGCGAACAAATTGACAAAGGAATAGCAGTATAAAACTACAATAACGATATCATCACCTATGTCGATACCAGACCCTACATAGCTCATATTGCTCACGGGTATTTCGATCAAACGGATATTGTGGCCTCTTCTTATCAGCCGTATTTTCCCAACTGCAGCCATGCGACCTCAGCTGTTTTATCGAACTGAACGCCCTACTCGTTCGGAAGCGCTACGACAATTCGTTGATCATCTATACTGACATCAAAGCATCTTGTCTATACTTGTTGAAATGAAGAAGCTGCGCGGTGTCCAGTGTTTTCTAGACGCTGGGATCGGGTCGTTAACAACGACAAGATCTGCTTGACTTCCCACCAAAGTATTAGCTTTTTATCTTTCCTGCTGTTCATTTTATTCGAATAAAACCGTGGACATGTTTGAATGAGATGCCTATAAAAACCTCTCTGCAGACGGCTAGACAGATCAGTCACCTTTCCTGGTTAGTCCCAAACCTGAGTGCTACTTTTATGGAGTCGTATCCGCAGAGATCGTAGATGAACAGTGTCCACGTCGCCGCGTTACCCCTCAATTACGATAACACGGTTCACGGTGATGCACAGTCTTGAGACTAGGAGTTTTATACGTCTCCTTGGGCAGGGACTCCAGAGTGCGTGGTTTTTTTTTCATTTTCTTCCAAGTCCCCCGCCCCTTCTCTCGAGTTGAGTGATAGGGGACTTTGAAATTGCAGCGAGGCTAGCCGTTCACAAGTTGACTCCGTTGTTCCCGCCTAAAGATGCAGCGAACAGAACGCCGCACCGCCTCGTGACCCCTATCAACTTCGATAGCCTGACGCGGTCGCGAGACCCATATAACGCAATGGTCGTCTTCCATGTGCTCTTCAAGCTCCACTTACGACGGCAGTTTTCGAGGAACTGGGAGGGGGGTTGTATCAGGTTGAACATGTAGCGTTCAGCGACGCCACCAACATCGACCAGATGGGGTCGTAATACAACAAGAGGAACGGCGGAGGGACGAAGCGAGACTTTTGTCGGATGAGATTGCAATCTGCTTTACTTACCAGTTCTTCGCCGCTACTCTCCCTGAAAGGTGAATGTGGATAAGATGGGCGGAGAGCCACATCAATTGACGAGAGGTGCTCTCATGGACAGATTCATGCCTCCCTGGCTAATACTCTGCAAGAAACTTGCGGGCTCCTTCGTCAACTTGCTTAGAAGTATGAAAACCGTAAGTGGCTCCATGAAGGATTAGTGGTCACGAAAAAATATAGCTCTAAGGATGGAGGAGGGGGGGGGGAGAATGTCAGCTTCGGTATACAAACAGACTCCATTTCGTACATGTCAAGAGATGCGCGCGATGGAAAATTTTTCAATCACCTCGACAGATTCCTCGTTACTGCTGTATTGTCTCAAAACGGCACCCCTACATATGCGTTTTTCAGAAACTCGTCCATTTTTGCGCATAACACTACTTTGTTAATGTATGCACTCAGCCTATGTACTCGTGTTCGAGGGAGAAGCTTAAAGTATTCAGTGTAATTCTCTGTTTTCGCAGAGCAGCAGTTCTTTTTGGGTGAGCAGTGCTAGGGCAGGTAAGTCGGTTCTTCCAATGCGGTGGGCGCGAAGTGTAGGTAAGGGCTGGTGTACACTGTAACGTTAACGACACGCCATGAGTATCGATAATCGTTGCCCCTCTGTTGCTTTTTCGACCTTTGACCCCCCCCCTCCGGCTTAGTCCATCGATTTAGTGGACACAATCTTCCACATACATTTGGCGCCTATCGCATTTAAAGACTTGGCGTGCCTACCTGACTAGCTTTTCAGAATTTTTGAGTCTTTCTACTACAAGTACTTATAATTCAAATCTGTTATATGGGTGAATATCGGCGATCAAGCAAACAAAAAACGAATAAAACCCACTAAATAAGGAGCGAAAAATACCACGGCCGCCTGCCAGATTCCATCAATGGTATTGATGGCAAAAAGTTGGTACGTGTATTTCGATCCTCTGCGGCCTGGGGCATAGAGCACCGGGTTTGACAGCAACTCATCGGCCGGTGCATCCTGATCGATCACACCTACGATGATCGGTTGGAGACTAAAACAAATATTTATTGTAGTTTGGAACCGACCACAAATGTCCATTATCCTATCATTATCATTATCATTCGCTACCTCGTGTGAGCTGGTTGGAACCAGTGCTGGAATCGTTCATTCAACATCGCCTGATGTGTTGAAAATGGCCAATTATACAGAACTGCCAGGCTGCGCTACAACAACAGCGAGAAGCTGGTGGTGAAGACTTTCCTAATGGCGCATGCGGAGAGCCCTAAAGGGTACGCAATGTTTGAACGGCAATGATGCACTAACCCAACATCGCACCTCCACGGCGAGATGTGCTGTGTTGGTGAACATCATGCCAGTTGCGATGTAAAACCCGAAGAGCCACAGTCCACATTCCTGACCAGTGAAAGTCTGAAAAAAAAACAGTGAGGAACCAGTTGATGCTGACATAGTGAAACAAAATACGTTCAAATGGTGAGGTTTCAAGCACTATTGCAAAAAAAAATTGATCGCCATTGTGAAAAAAAAACGCAGAAGTTTCTTTACAATGTTTCAACTGCACTGGACTGAGCTCTCTTCAAGCCTGAATCATACCGAAAAAGCCACCAGGAGAGTTTGGGCTACGTTCAGATTGGTCGGAGCATTAGCTGCACTAGAAAAATTGGAGTGTTTGCAACTGCTAGCCTTTTCCACCACTACACAACACGCCAAGACCAACCTCCCCATTGTGTTGCGCTTGTAATATTGATGTCAACAGTACTGTTTTACAGTCCAGGCCTGACGAAGGCGTACACGCCGAAAGCTCGCTAAATATGAATCGGAGTTCCCAATTATCACAATCACTGCGCCTATTGAAGTTTAAATATGTTTATAATGCCTAGAAACTAACCTCGCATTTGTTAACTTAGGTAACCATATACAACATCGCACCTACAAGGGGTGTGCACCTTTAGTCGGATTGACCTTTCACACCTCTTCGCCGTAGTTATCTCGCTCCACCCTGTAACCTGCCTCTGGGTTGACCTCGCTTAATTAGCTGAGCTGAGTGCTGACCGGGTGTGCACCTTTAGTCCAAAGTGCAATTATGGAGAGACCACCTCGCACCTACACTCACTTGCCTGTGGGAAGACCTTGTTAATTGCGCTAGGTTGTCTGCTGACCTCTTCCTTTCAGGCTCAGTATCGATCATCTGATCGATGAATTTTATACATAGACACGCTTCCAAGCTGCGTATCAAAAACAAAATAATAAAAGAAGCAAATAGAAAACACAACGCGTCAGCAAACTTTAAAGACACATAACCCAAACTGTTACGCAACAAGGGATAGAATATTTGTAGAAAAACATTTCAATCTCAGATCTTTGTAATATTTAGTTTGTTTCCATTTCGTGCCCTTGACATGACGCAGAAAACTGCATATTTGCATTTATGGCTTAAAGGCAAACCCCGGGATAAGCCCAACTAGTAGGAGGGATACCACGAGGGAAATTGTAAGGTCCGTACCTACCTAGATCACTCCAGCTTCGTCGCAAAAATTGCGCGGTTAGGGCGCTAATCCTTACGGGCCTGCAACCATCGACTCCCTTCCAACGCTTCCCACCCACCGCGAGAGGTGGTGAGATCAGCGTGCATTGATGTAGAGATCAGCGTGCTCTCTCAAACGACGTGCTCTCTCGCGTATTTTGTCTTCTTTGACCGCCCTTTCTCGCCATCGTACCACATCCGACCCTATTGAAGGTTAAGGCCTTAATTTCAGCGTTCCCAAAGATTTCTCTTGCTTTCCTTTCCACTTTCAGGTCGTTCCGCAGCTAAGCTATCACTACAAAGCGCTGCTAGCACCTGTTTGATCCCGGGGTTTGCCTTTAAATGAAATTTGGTGGAACTTAATAAGCCTTTTGAAGTGGAACAAATAAAATACAAGAGCAAACATTTTCTGCTGGCTAGAAATTCGAATCGGGTATTCAGAGTACTTCTTCATATTGGCACTTTAACTCGTGTTTCACTTACGTTTCAGTATGAACTTGATTTACCATTTTTCGCTGTCTTTTTTTGAATTCCCCACGTGGGATTTGAGGCCAGAGTGAGGGATCGTCACTATTCAATATTGTTTAGGTAGGTCACTTAATTCTGGTCACTAGCGTTCAGTGACAGTAAATCAAACTCAATGTCAACATTGCTCTAGGACAAACGATCGAGCATTGCTTCTAGTTTGAGAAACATGCCTGATGAGACTTGCCAAATTTTGCCGAAGCTTATGATGACCAGGCTCCATCATATCCTATCCGAAATATCACTGAACAAATTGGAAGTGGTGTTTCTGATGGTCTGGCAAAAGCATACCGGTCAGCCGCAAAATTTCATGCTGGTAGTTTGCAAGCATTATGACGCTCTTAGATGAATGAGGAATAGGGATGAGTAAAATGAATTAGATGATTCTGATGTTGCTGTTCTGAAACGCTCATGCAACACGCAAAGGGAAAGATCCAGATAGGGGAAAGCGGCTGTCACGAATATGTGAAATCCCCAAGTGGGGGTCCCGGTACAAAACCATATTTGAAAAAAAAACCTTCAGGGCTTGTATAAGAAAACTTTCTATCTCAATGAAATCAACGGAGTTTTGTGATAACCAGTTCATAAGATTGATGTAGCGCAACCTAGAACGCCCTGTGCGAGGTCAGCAGTCAGCACAGTCAATTAAGTGAGGTCACCCGCAGGCGATCGCTAGGAGGCATAAGGTGGCAGGTGCGAGGTAGTGATTAAGAGGTCATTTTTGACTAAAGTCCCTCTCCCGTGCTGACCCAACTCCAACAGACTCTTCATAGAGGATAT